TGTATGTATGGTATGTGTGTATGTATGTATATAAATATACGTACGTACAGCGAGGGATGGCGAGAGAGAGCGAGAGAATCAGCATGGTCTGCGACCGGCAATGGACCGAGATAGGGTCAAGGGCCGAAGGCTTCGCGCACGTAAACTGGAGCAGCAGAAGGAGACAACATGCATGGAGACTGTCGCAAAGGCTTCTTAAAGAGGTATAGGGTTTCGGGTTTAGGGATTAGGGTTTAGGGGTTTAGGGTTTAGGGTTCGGGTTTTAGGCTTTAGACAATAGCACACATCAGCAAGAACATGGATGGTCGATGAAGACTAGCACTAGTAATAATATGCCAGCCATCTAAGCAAGGGGCCGTAACAAGTGTAGGGTGGGTGAGCACAGGTTCAGTAGCAAATCAGAGAAGCATGGTATTCACATAAACACTCTTCACAGTCAAACCCAGTATTCGGGTCAAGGCACAGCAAGATAGCCGCAGACCTTCAACGCCATCCTTGAAACCGGGCTGCAGAAGTGCGGTCTTTCGGGCTGAATGCTTAGGGATTGCATCTAAGCCGGAATGTCTGGCGAAAGGGAGATCTGGCTCAGGTTTGTCGATGCGAAAGCATGCCCTAAGGGTCCATGTACCCAAATAGTATATACTTTGGCCCCAAAGTACCCATATAGGGACTACTTTAAGGCCAAAGTATCTACTATTTGGGTACATGGACCCTTAGGGAGGGTTGAGACGCGGACTTAGTCATGTGGCCTGGGGCCAAGGGCTTTCAGGCCTTGGGACTTTATTCCTAGGTCCCCCAACTACCCTCTATCTGATTTCTGGCGTAGCACAACCGCCCAAAAGGCTTCAACAGCACACACGCACACAAACAAACGCAAAATAGACTAGTCCTGGACGTGCAGCACAGAAGGTTCTATGAGGGGCAACCCAATCCAGAATAGAGTAACGCATGCCGAGACGTTGCTTGCAGGCTCATGACTTGGAATCGATTTTGGGGTTCAGAGGTTTGAGTTATCAAGCGGGCTTCGAAAGAAAACGGCTCTGCTGTCTATGGCCGAATTAACTATAACTATAGTCATCGTCACCCTAGCCCTCAAAAACTAAACCCCTGAAACCTTAAACCACTACGCCCCAATCCCCTGCATCCCTGCACCTCAACGGAGCTGCCTGGTGGTCCAAGTGCCCAATGTTTAGGGTTTAGGGTTTAGGGTACATTGCCCCAACTACTAACCCACACTACTCCTAAACCCTAAAGCCTAAATCCACAGGCAGTACCTCATTATCCGGTACATCTGGACTCCTAAGACCCACTCAGACCCTCTTTTTGGAGCCTCTCTAGAATCCTTACAGATACCCTATTTTTCTTGGATGCCTCAACGGAACCCTTTAAGGAACCCTTCAAGGAACCCTTAAAGGAACACAGGAACACTTCAGGGGATCCTTGTAAGGGATCCCTTCAAGAGAGCCTGAAAGGCGAGCCCTTAGCACATCCTCAAAGCATCCTTGATAGGCGATCCTTAAGGGGATCCTCGGTTTAGGGTTTAGGGTTTAGGGTTTAGAGGGATCCATCAAGGGATCCTCGAAGGATCCCAGGATCCCCGTCCAGGAAACCCTAAGGGATCCAAGTCCAAGACTTACCTATAGTCTCCATTGTAGTTCCGGTTTTTTGGGGGATGCCTTATAACACCCTTAATATATAATTGGGTAAACCCAAAAAAGGAACTACTTCGGGGCTGAGTACCCTAGCCCAAAAAAGGTTAACCTTTGGAATTATTCTAGGATTATATAAGCCCCAAAAGGTTAAAGGTTACCTACTCAGCCCCTAAGACTACAACGGAGACTACAGGAACCCTAAACCCTGAACCCTAAACCCTAAACCTTAAGGGATCCAAGGGTTAGAACCTTCCCAAGGCGAGCAGCAGAGAGTACGTCGAAAGGAGGCGGTTCGCGACGAAGGACACCTTGCGCTCCAACCTCGCTCTTGCTAACGGGTCCCATCGGGCTTTATTAGGGGGTTTAATGTAGGCGCCTTAATAATTAGAATAGGCTCTGGGGGGTTCCTTCTTATAATTATAGTATAATTTACCCCAAACCCTATTCAATTATTAATCACGGCCCCTATATTAGGACTTTGGGGTCTAGGGCTTTAGGGTTCAGGACATATGCATCTTCTTTTAATGGGCTTGAAAGGGGCTTAGCCAGGGCCTGGCAGGAGATATATGGTCTTATAGGATTCAAGGGCGCTTGATGAATCAATTCTATTACGGCACCATCATAACAACGGGAAGTCCTAAACCCTAAACCCTAAACCGTGTGTTTTCCGTATTCTGCCACTTATAGGGAGCTCTCTGCTTCGTTGGATCTTCGGGTTCTTAGGCTCAGATGCTAAATTTTGCCAGTGGTTCGGTTTAGGATTTGAGGTCTTAGGTGTAGGTGCAAAATTATGTTCGGGGTTCAGGGCTGTGGAGGCAATGGAAACAAGACACTTGCTGCAGCGGTCGTGTAAGGGCTTCTTGGGATGATGGTGGTGGTTGAGGTTGCGACTGGTAACCCTAAAACCTTTAATCCTAAAGCTAAAATCTTAAACCCTATAGAACCTTAAAGCCTGGCGACTGGTAACCCTGGCCCTAAAACCTTAAACCCCAAAGTTTAAATCTTAAACCCTATAGAACCTTAAAGCCTGGTGCTGTAGATAGATTTAAAGTTCAAGGTTTGGGAGTCCAACCCTTTCCCAGAGAGCCCAATACCCCTTAATTAAGCAATACATCTTACATTGTAGGGGCCTTAATATTATGACTTCAGGTATATTCCTGAATTAAAGGGTGTTGGGTTCTCTGGGCCCTACTGACACTAGGAAGCCCCGATGAACCTCCCGCTTCAGGCTTTCAAGCTACGGTAATGTACCAGGACCCCCCAATGGCCCTTTAATAGAGCCCTTATGGTCCTTAATAGTGGGTATTTGGGTAAATTTTAGGGTAGTTGGGGGGTTTAGGTAGGGGCCTAATAATTACCTATACTGTTTTGGTGGGTCCTTACTATGATTATAGTAGCATGGGCCCCAAAACCCGATTCTAATTATTACAAGTCCCCTGCATTTACGGTACCCTTGATAGAGGCCTTAACGTCCCTGAGAAGGTAGTTTAGGGTTTAAGATATATGGGGGTTTCCGAAAATAGGGGACCCTATTGTAGTACCCTAAATAGTAGGATCCTTGTTATAAGGACCCCGAAATAAGGTACCCCTTGTTTTCGGAAACTCCCATATTCCACTGTAGTAGCAGGGTCTAGGTTGCTAACTGTGTTGTTGGTGTACTCTAGCCTGACTTCTTGTCGGAATCTCGTGTGTCCGAACAATCTAACAACGCGAAACCCGAAAGGATGCAGGCTACCTTCAGAAGTCGCTACCAAATGCACAGTTCCTGACGCACTTGGCTGGCCGCTTCTAGGGTTCTCAACCTCCAAACCCTAAACCTCAGACCCTAAACCCTAAACCCTAAACCCCAACCCTCAACCCTAAATCCCAAAAGCAATGACAAACCCATTCACCCTCGAAGCCGGGTGTCTTTGCTACACGGATCAGCCGCACTAAGCGGATGATCCGCAAGCTGCGAAGGAAACGGCCAGAACGAAACACTGGATTCCTGGGCTCATGCATGATTGAATCGAACCTGCATATTTCAGAAAAACCATGCATAATGGAAACAAGTGGGAACAATGTATATGTATATAACTCTCTCTCTCTCTCTCTCTCTCTCGCTCTATCCCGATCTACTACATGGATAGAAAGATAGATATATAGATATGAAGCGGCCGTTTCTCCCCATGTACCGACCATTCGGCCTGTCTTGTGGATAACTTGGGTGATTCCGAAGGTTTGCAGAGGGTACAGGAATGTCAACTAGTGCAAGCCTGTGTTCGACCACATTGGACTTGGATGGGCGGAAGCAAAACGTCCAAACAAAAAAAACAATTACAAAACACACCAAAAACAACCATTTACATGCTAATACATGTACAAAAAACACAAGCAAAACCTGGAACTTCCTGGCTTTGCCGGAATACGTCGAAACTCTCATTGGTTAAGCGCTTGTTCTGTTTGCCATGGTTTCGGATGATTTGTTGGAGTGTGTTTCGTCTCTTTCCAAGTTTCTGGGTTATGGTCCTTGTGTCATAGTATCCCCCTAAACCCTAAACCCAATGCCCCTAAACCCTAAACCCTAAACTCCTGCACCCTCTACGGTTTACTCTTGTGTGTTTGGTGTGTTAAGCTCCTTCTTTGACCCTTTAGGGTTTAGGGTCATAAACTTCAAGTTGCCTTAGAAAATGAAGGCACAATGATAGTATCTTAAGGTATCTTCCTTCAGCACGGGGTTTCGAAGTCTCTGGCATAGGGCGCACTGTAATTACTCGGGAGCACCAACTGATCCTTGAAGATGTCAGTTTTTGGGAGATGATTTCGATATGCAGGCGAGTATGCAAATCGACTCATTTCTTCAAGTTGCACAAGCTGCTTGGTTTACGAATGTAGCTCCGAGTGCCAGTAGCATCAACTCGCCTTCAATATGTTTGACCGAAGCTTTGGCTTGGGCTGCCTGGCTTGCATGTTACAAATACCCAAAGGCCAAGTAGAATCAACTGGTTATAGGCGTGCACTGCAATGAGTTGCTCGAACTCATTTCACGAAGCACATCCTTCAACATGCTTGAGTCGACTATGCAAACCGTTAGTATTTTTCAATTGCAGGTGATTAACACATGTTGAAAGTATGCAAACAAAGCACTTCCAGGTGTCTAAACTGTTCGAGTCTTACAGACTGCATGGCTTTAATATGCAAAATGGCAGTGAGAGCACTGCGTTAAGTTCAGTTTAAGTGTAACTAACAGCCAAACACCAGTTCTTCGTCGACATATCTTAATAAACGAGTTCAACAACTTCAGCCGTTTAGACGCTCCGATATGCTTGACCCGAACACGTCGTGCCAAATAAACATGCGAGAGTCGTCCGAAATACGTGTTTAGGCAGAGCTGAAGAAGCCATCCTTTTGTTCGATCGAACAATTGACGTTCCTGAACGCGTGCCGCTTTTTTGTCTGTTCAATCGCTGTGCATAGTCCGATGTTTAAACTCTTGGAACAAACAGCCGACGGTAAATAGGTATGAAATTACTTGCAATCCGATCCGCTGCTTTGCTGATTGAAACGCTCAACTGGTTCGTCTTGTTAATGTAGGGGCCTCAATAATTAGAATAGGGTTTTGGGGTATACGATACTGCAAAAATCTACTAAGGAACCCCCAAAACCCCATTCTAATTATCAAGGCTCCTGCATTATTCTTCTCTTTCCTTGCAGACATATGACTGCATTGCTCGGGTGCTTTTGTAGTAAAATTTCAGCCTCAGACACTAGACCCGTGCAACCTGGGTAACGAACATTGATACATGAGGCCTCTTCTGAGGAAGCTGGTCAGTTAATGAGGAGAAACTGCATTTTCGAGGAAGACGCCTAAATCTACGAATGGTTCTTCCTACAACAGCTTTGATTCGATTCCATTTCGGTCGAGACCCGCTTGAAACCATCTACGGGAGGGATAGAGTCGCACTGGTTTAATTAGGTTAGACGTGTCAAACAACAAGCGAATCCGAGGAGTTTAAAAACACAGTTGCGAGCGAGTGTTTGAAGCATGTCAAAGAGCATTCATGGCCCTCGTGTTGGTCTGGCACTCAAGTGACATCACGAGGCTGAAGTAGGTGACCTCCGTTATTACCGCAACTATCTCTATCATTACAGCACAGGTGGTGAGCAAGACAGCTTGGAAAGTGGAAACCACGCCTGTGGCAATCAAAGGGCGCTGCCGTCGCCTTCTCATGCTTCCCATGCTGTATCACCGGTGACACATCGATGACCCACTCTGTGGGAACATATGTATGTGCGAGTATCAAGTGCATTGCCCCCCTCTCCATTAATACCAACTTATTTGGTTACCCCTACGGTCGGTTACACCTTTTCTGGTCCGCTAAATTCCAAACTGTCTTGTTTTATTGGGCCCCCTGTGGCGACTAAGGTCAGTTGTAGGGGTCTGCAGTTTAGTACATCATTGATCTTCTGTGACCACTAACCCTAAGGCTCCATGTACCCATATAGTACATACTTAGGGCTTAAAGTACCTATATAGGGACCCTTTTAAGGCCTAAGTATCTACTATAAAGGTACATGGAGCCTTTGGGTAATTTCCGGGTGCCGATTTCTAAAAGTACGCGTGGTTGATAACGTCGTGGATTTCACTTCAAACCCTGACATGCTCACTGAAGTCCTGGGGCCAAGTTGGCCAGCATATGCTGGTCATGGGGCGGCCCCAGGTGGGGTAACGGGAAGAAGGGGTAACCGGGAAATGCGTATTATCCATGACAGTTATGATTATGTAGGTTTAAAGTCGCAAACCACACGAAATCAGTAGGTACATGGCACGGGGAGGGCGGCCTGTCACATTTGAGTCACATTGTATATAATATGAGTAAATAAAATTAAATAAACATATAAATCAATGAATAATGATATATATATATATATGTGTGTATTTAAACATGTATATGTGCGTATGTCTATGTGCGTATATATATATATACATATACAGTTTGGTACACATGCCTACAGTCCTACGACGTACTATCTAACCTTCCTACACCTGCAGATGCAAAAATGTGGCGGTAGCTACGCTACATAGGCGCACATGGAGATGGATCGGCAGGTGCCATGGATAGTGCCCAGGGCAGACTAGGTATCGAAAGAATAGCGGGTGGAAGGCAAACAACTACAGACGGATATAACAGATATAACAATTATGGATACACCATTTGTAGTAACTAGATTGAGACAGCGACACCCTCACCTTAGTTGAGCTCGCTTCTCTGCTAGCACTCTCGCAACTCCCGGCGTCCGTCAGTCTTTCCTGCCTAGCAACCATAGGTTGACGTGTGGTCGTGACTGTTCACAGACATGGTACATCGCCCTAAACCCACAACTCTTAAGAGGTAGACCTCCGCGTCAGCACCCTGCTGATCAGGAAGCCTTGGCATGTTCGGCTCCGTTTCTTTTATACTCTATCTACAAATAGAACTATCCCTAAAATGTTGCAAACTCTGCCATCCACCGGAACCTGAGGGGCCGTGGACCGTACTGTCATGCCGACGTACTGTAATGTCAACCCCTGATTCATAAACCTCACTGTTGAAGGGGGTTTCGTAGACAAGGGTCTACGTTAGAACTCAGTCAAAACCACTGCACCAAGTAGCGGGTCGGCATAGTAGATGAACCTGGTCTTCTCGCACTTAGGCATAGGGACCCTCATGCGGGTAAAGGGAGGGGGGTATAATAGGGGACTTTTGCTTCCCTAAATAGGCCGTATTAGGTCCTTATGACTTAGGGTGTCCAACTTAGTCACAACCGGTGCAAGCCAATTTTCAAAACACCCGAATCGGAAAGAGATTTTAGACTCTAAACCCTAAACCCTCCTTTAAACCCCTAAACCCTAACACTCTGAACCCTAAAAACTCAACCCTGAACCCCTGAACCCTGAACCCTGAACTCCTAACCCCTAAACCCTAAACCCCTAAACCCTAAACCCCAAACCCCTCAACCCTCAAACCCCTCAACCCTCAAACCCTAAACCCCTGAACCCTGAACCCCAAACCCCTCAACCTTCAAACCCTAAACCCCTAAACCCCCAAACTCTCCCACGCTTTCTGCTTGAAGTATCAGAGACTTAGGGGCTTTTGGGTTTGGGGTTTAGGAGTTTAGGGTTTAGGGTTTGGGGGCTTTGGGTTTGGGGGTTTAGGATTTAGGGGTTTAGGGGTTTAGGCTTTGGAGTTTTAGGGTTTACGGCTTTAGGGGTTTAGGGCTTAGGGTGTATGGGTTTTGGAGTTTGGCGGTTTCCGGATTCAGGGTGTAGGGTGTAAAGAATCTAGAGTGAGGAGTTCCGGGTATCAGGGTAAGCGTTCAGGGTTCATCCATTCAGACCAAACTCCGTAGCTAGAAGCCCAGTTACATACGCAGTAGGTTGAGCGTGCGTGCAAAGCCCCGATATAAATCACTTCAGCAAGGCAGACCCTTGCATGAGTAACTGGTCTATGTTTGAGGTCTTTTGCCGCACCCAGACTCAGACACTTGTGAGGGGGTTCCTCTACGACAGCATCTAGCCACAGGCCCCATAGTAGTTCCTGTTTGGGGTTCATGTTTAGAATTCTATAAGGTAATCCCAAAAAGGAGCTACTATGGGGCCTATGGGTAGACCATCCGGACAGGCTTTCTTGTCACGGTTTAGGGTAAGGGGCTTCCTCAACATCATTCTTTGGACGGGTTGTGCTCTTTTGTTACGACTTTCTAAGCCCTCTACCTGTCGCGCGAAAGGCCCGAAACCCATCACCCTGCAACGGCCCGTCGAGCAGCTTCAAAGTAAGCACCACAGTATCCACGAAGATGATCATCATGTCCACCGCAAACCAGGACTGCAGGTAGAGCCTTTGCAAAATTAAACCCTAAACCCCCAAACTCCTTAAAAACCCCTACGTCCGTCCTGGCCTCAGAGACTGTTAGAGATATCTTTAGGGTTTAGGGTTCCCGCCTTTAGGGTTGAGGAGTAGATCTATTTCGGCATGTTTGTGAACTCCTTCTTGGGCCTGCCTTTAGGGTTAAGGGTTTAGGGTTAGTGGCCAGCGGCCCCTACTACCTTGGTTCTCGAAGATCATCAACTTTGGGCTTGTCTGGGCGTTCGGTTTCAGGGGTTCAAGCACTAGAGTGTCTAATGTCACAAAGAGGCTCGGCTTGACAATGAGTCTTGTTTTGCTCGCAGGAGGGTCTCTCAAGGGTTTTTGGTGCACAGACAGAGCTGCAAGATATTGAAGCCTGGTGGTCATATGAGAACAACAAAGCAGACTCGCGACAGCCTCGCTTGCGTGCAGGCCCTCCTTAGCGCTGCCTCGCATGCAACATCATGAAGTCTTGTAAGGCTATAGGCATGTTCTGCCGAGTTTCTTGAAGAGCTTCTTGGGCCGCATTTCCTGCGTGGAAGTCTAGAACACACACCTTGTTGCAGCCTGGTCCCTACACTCGCCTAAGTAAACCAAAACAAGATCTTCCGTCCGATATTCCGTCCGGACCCCAGCTAGCACGGGCTTCGGCTTGGTACACTTGAGATTCACACATGTGTGAGCCAAAACCCCAAAGTCCAAACCCAAAGCTGTAAATCTATAAAGCCTCCATCGATTTCGAAAGAAAACCGACGTTTAAACCCCAACCTGAAACCCTAAACTCCTAAACCCCAAGCCGCTTGTAAACCTGCACACCCGGAACCGTCTGAAGACGGAGGTCTAGGCCTAGGCCTCTCGCCGTTTAAGGTTTTCGGGCCATGGGACGGCCGGAGTTGGGCTGCAGGATTTTGTTTTTGTTGACCGGACCTTTTCTCCTCGCAGAGAAGTCATTCGACTAGGTCGTTGCCTGTGCTTCTCACCCGCCACGACCCGGACTGATCACAGGAAAAAGGGTTCAGGGTCTTAGGGTTTAGAGGAATTCCGGCGAATCAATATACCATAAGGGTCCTAGTCAATGAAACAGCCCTAAACCCTAAACCCTAGGGACAAATCATAGTAATTATAGCTCAAGTGAGGAATCCGGAGGAGTAGTATATTAGCATATTACACCTGTGATATGTCGGGGTTTAGGGTTTAGGGTTTATGTCGGGGTGTGAGGTTTAGGGTTCGACAATGTCAGCATCGAGGACAGTCTGAATCTCAGGCTTGGTTTGTAAAAGGAAAATGCTCTCAAAGACGCAACGCCCTGCAATGTTCGCCCCGAAGACACCTCTTGCGTCTGCACGATCCCTGAATCATCGAAACCCCCCTAAACCCTAAACCCTAAACCGCTAAAACCCCCTAAACCCTAAAGCCCTAATTAGACCCTAAACCCTAAAGCCCTAAATCCTAAACCCTAAAGCCCTAAACCCTAAACCCTAAAGCCCTAGAGCCCTAAACCCTAAACCCTAAAGCCCTAGAGCCCTAAATCCTAAACCCTAAAGCCCTAGAGCCCTAAACCCTAAACCCTAAACTCCCTAAACCCTAAAGCCCTAGAGCCCTAAACCCTAAACCCTAAAACCCTAAAGCCCTAAACCCCCTACACCGAGGCTCCGTGACACCAGCCATCTGCACGCCGAAGACCAAGTGCAGGGGAACGTCGAGCATCCAGAAAACCAAGGAAGCCTGGGATGGTGTAGGCGGCTTAAGCTTTAGGGTTTGGGGCTTAGAGTTTAGGGTTTAGGGTTTCAGGGTTTGGGGTTCAGCCTAAACCCTAAACCCTAAAACACAACGAGGTTTTAAGGGCGGCTTAGGATTTAGGGTTTAGGGTTTAGGGTCCAAGGTATATTAAGCGGCTTAAGATTTAGGGCTTCGGGCTTAGGGTATATTAGGCGGCTTAAGGGTAGATTAGGTTGCTTAAGGAAAAGTAGGGGCCCTGTACCAGTATACTATGAATCCCCTGTATGGTGTATGGGTAGTTGTCAAAATTATGGTCCCTTTTGGGGTACCCTAAATAATAAGTGCCGTAATATAATAAGGACCCAAAAAATGGGACCACAATTTTGACAACCACCTAATATGAACCCTAAACCCCTTTGAGGGTTCTTTGCGTCCTTAAGGTAGGAGGAAAAAAGGGTATATTGGCTGCTTCTTGTTTATTGGGGTTTAGGGATTAGGGTTTAGGGTTTAGGGGGTTTAGGGTTTAGGGTTTAGGGTTTAGGGTTTAGGGTTCACACTCTTCCCGTTTGGGGATGTTTAGGGCTCAGGGTAGACAGGGAGTTTAGGCTGCTTTGGCTTGAGGGAGTTGCCGGTCTAGGAGTTGAGGGTCTGGGCCTAAGAAGGGGTTTAGGGTTTTGGGAGTATGTTAGTAGTGAAAACAGCGACCTCAACTGCTGCTGGGCTGTTGAAGTATGCGGCTGTGCCTCGAAGACGGTCTCTGCTTTTGCATCAATCACATCAATTACCTACTTCTTTCATCTGAAACCTTCAAGTATGGCGTTTCCCAGAGAGCCCAGTACCCCTTCATTGAGGAATATACCTTACATCATAATATTAAGGTCTCCATAATTTAAGGAATATTCCCGAGTTAAGCATTCCGAACTAAACCCTAACCCTATACCCTAAACCCTAAACCCTAAACCCTAAAACCCCCTAAGCCCTAAACCCTAAACCCTAAGCAGGTTCTTACCAAGCTTGTTGGCTTCAGGCAGCAGCTCTAAGCTGCATGCCTCAAACACATACCCTAAGGGTCCCCTGTCTGGTGCTTAGTAGGGAATGGGGGAATGGATCCCTATGATAGTCCTTTGAGGTCCCTTATAGTAGTCCCTATAACCCATTCCCCCATTCCCTCCTAAGCACCAGACAGTCCCTGTGCCCAAATAGTATATACTTTGGCCCCAAAGTATATACTTTGGCCCCAAAGCACCTTTATAGGCACTACTTTAAGGCCTATGTAAACCCTAAACCCTAAACCCAAAGCCCTAAGCCCCAAACCCTAAGCCCTAAACCCTAACTATTTGGGCACATGGGCCCTTAGGGATTGGCTTCGAACTCAAAGCTCAAAGCCTGAGTCCACGGAAGGTTTGGAGTACAGACTTCGACCTGCTCCTGCAAAGAGGTTTAGGGGTTTAGGGGTTTAGGGGTTCAGGGGTTAGGGGTTTAGGGGTTTAGGGGTTTAGGGTTTAGGGTTTAGGGTTTTAGGGGTTTAGGGGTTCAGGGGTTTAGGGGTTAGGGGGTTTTGGCCGGTCTA